CTTGTTATCAGTATAAAAGACACCTGTCCACAACCTCAAACAGTCATACTCCAAACTCCACCATGGCCAAGATCAAAGAGCTGTCGAAGGACACCAGAAACAAAATTGTAGATCTGCACCAGGCTGGGGAGATTGAATCTGCAATAGGCAAGCAGCTTGGTGTGAAGAAATCAACTGTGGGAGCAATAATTAGAAAATGCATCCAAAGAACACCATACCTACTGTGAAGCATGGGGGTGGAAACATCATGCTTTGAATCATGGTGGAAAATAAGTATTTGGTCAATATCAAAAGTTCATCTCAATACTTTGTTATATATCCTTTGTTGGCAATGACAGAGGTCAAACGTTTTCTGTAAGTCTTCACAAGGTTTTCACACACTGTTGCTGAATCATGGTGGAAAATAAGTATTTGGTCAATATCAAAAGTTCATCTCAATACTTTGTTATATATCCTTTGTTGGCAATGACAGAGGTCAAACGTTTTCTGTAAGTCTTCACAAGGTTTTCACACACTGTTGCTGAATCATGGTGGAAAATAAGTATTTGGTCAATATCAAAAGTTCATCTCAATACTTTGTTATATATCCTTTGTTGGCAATGACAGAGGTCAAACGTTTTCTGTAAGTCTTCACAAGGTTTTCACACACTGTTGCTGAATCATGGTGGAAAATAAGTATTTGGTCAATATCAAAAGTTCATCTCAATACTTTGTTATATATCCTTTGTTGGCAATGACAGAGGTCAAACGTTTTCTGTAAGTCTTCACAAGGTTTTCACACACTGTTGCTGAATCATGGTGGAAAATAAGTATTTGGTCAATATCAAAAGTTCATCTCAATACTTTGTTATATATCCTTTGTTGGCAATGACAGAGGTCAAACGTTTTCTGTAAGTCTTCACAAGGTTTTCACACACTGTTGCTGAATCATGGTGGAAAATAAGTATTTGGTCAATATCAAAAGTTCATCTCAATACTTTGTTATATATCCTTTGTTGGCAATGACAGAGGTCAAACGTTTTCTGTAAGTCTTCACAAGGTTTTCACACACTGTTGCTGAATCATGGTGGAAAATAAGTATTTGGTCAATATCAAAAGTTCATCTCAATACTTTGTTATATATCCTTTGTTGGCAATGACAGAGGTCAAACGTTTTCTGTAAGTCTTCACAAGGTTTTCACACACTGTTGCTGTTTAAAAATCAGACAATGTGATTTTCTGGATTTTCCCCCCCATTTTGTCTCTCATAGTTGAGGTATACCTATGATGAAAATTACAGGTCTCGCTCATCTTTTTAAGTGGGAGAACTTGCACAATTGGTGGCTGACTAAATACTTTTTTGCCCCACTGTATCTAGCAGAAAATAAGACTGGAAATCCTAACATACTTTTCAACAAGGACCTTTTTAGCTCTCTGTTCAGGCTAAAAGATTTGAATGGCCTTTATATTAATCCAAAACTCAACCTATCAGTTTATTATAATCTAAAAGAAACCCAATTTACAAAGTACTAGTTACTGGTTTGCTATACTGTATTTTTTTATGCAGCTACCTCCTGCAGCCAAAAAAAAAAAAAAGTAGACTACTACTTAAAGTTATGACCAAATTCATTTGACAAATAAAATTGGGTTGCAATTGCTAATAAAATCAGAGTGACAGAACTGGGCATTCTGTCTTTAAACTAGGATATACTGCAATTCAATCTGTTTAGAGACCAATTCCAACCGCATGACATTCCATCATCTACAGAGAAATTTGGGAAATTCTCCTGAAGGAAACACCATGGCCTTTGGTAACAATTATGAAAGAGCAGAAGTATAAAGTAGCATCTTTTAAAAATAACTTTCTCTGCCAAATTCATGCATGTCTTTTCATTCTCTCTCTCCTATTTACACCTATGTTTCATCGTACCTCACAGCATCCAGTCTCTTGTTCTGTCGAATAAGTTCTATGAACTCCTGAATCCTTAGACTGAACTCCAGACAACTCTAAATTAAAAAGGAGACAAATCTTAGATGTGCCATAGCAAGATTTAGACACTTGACCTGTGATTTTATCTATGTTTATTTGGGTAACTTACCTTGAAATTAATAGAACAACTTAATATATTTAGAACCAATATCAAAGTTAATGCCATAAAATTTATTTATGCAGTTTGTTATGTTACTTCATAACTGTTTTCTTTGTCAAAGGCAAAATGCATACATCCACCTTGAGAAGTTTTGTTTAAAATGTTATTACTATAAAGTTCTATTTTTACACAGCATTTGTTCATTTTTTTGGTTGTTTTCATCTGAAATGTTATATATATTCACTGAACAATTTTTTCTCAGAAGCCTCTTCATACAGAAATTACTTCTAAACTATTCCTATATCACATTATCAAAAAAGAAATCCTGATTCATCTTTAAGAAAGCCAAGAACGTTTGTTGATACAGCAAAACTGAAAGTGAGATTTAATGGACAAGGATTATCTGTACATCAGCTATTTGAAATAACAGCTTTAAACTACTAATTTCCTTAACACTGTTCACTTTCACCCAGGCAATTTATGAAATAGACAAATCAGCTACCATTTTAAAACTTAACCTGCCCTTTCTTTTCACAGAAAGCAATTTCAAGATTGCATGATGTGCTTAGCCAGAGATGGGACCTCTATTTCTGTAACCCTCAAAACAACAAAGATGTCACCCCAACTCATTATTCTGGACTTATTTGCAGGTAGCTGGGCTTCTGCATACTGGCTCAAGAATGCAGCTTCTAAGATACATTGTCTGGGGATACTAGAACCCTTGCTTGGTACAATTTGGGTGCAGAAGGTTCTATGCTCTCTAGTGTGATAATCAAGAACCAAGTACATAACATTTTTGTCCTGTACACACTGAAGACTGTGTTTGGTGTTTCTAGTGACTATCTGTAACTGGAGAACATAAACACAACTTGCAGAGTATAAGAACTAGTTGGTATAGCTTTAATAAAAGTATTCTAGCTTTAATAAAACTGACTCTATAGCATTTATTTTTTCCTGCATGTAGGAAAAATTAAGGCTCATCAATGCATGTACAGCTCCCATGTGTGTCGTCCAACTGGGTTGTCCACCAGAACGGGTGGACTGAAATAGCATAAAATCTCTGAAAGTTGGATTTAAAGGCCTCACATTCTTTTCTCCACATTTTGTGAAAAAACTTTACAGCACTAAGTAAGATATCAAAATTGTCTCTTCAGAGTCCTCACCAACCATGCATTCAGCAACTATTCAAAGTTGCAACGGCACTAAATGAGGGGTACTTACAACTGGTCCTCGAAGTTCCGACCATCACACCAACCTTGCGGTCACGTGATCACGATTCAGGCACTTGACGACCAGCTTGCACTTTATGCAGCACTCCTCCCCCCACTGCACCCATGCACTCTTTACCTGGGATTCCTGCTGCTTCCCACTTAATGACCCGCGCATCTTGGGGTTACAGCAGCAACTGGGACTGCAGGGACTGTCATTGCTAAGCGATGCAGTCACATGACATCATGCTTTATGACCTCATCGCTTAGCAACAGCAATCCCGGTCCCTATTGCCATTGTAAACCAGGCACTGCATGTACATAATTATGTATCAGAAAGCTATTATGCATTAAAAATAGCACTGCACATAGGAAATTAATTATTCCAATTCCTACGTGCAGTTAGATTATGTCCTTGTAAAACAGGTTTTACAGATCACATAACTTGCAAAATAGAGCTAGTATGCTGTGGTGGTTAAGAGACAGCTATGAATCAAGATGTACTGTCTGAATCTCACCTCTGCCCTACATTTCCTGAGGAACGAACTGTAAACCACCCTTGGCTTCAGCCTCTTACCTGCAATACAAATTTATCTTATAGGGCTGCTGGGAGAATGATATCCAGAGCAAATGAACAGTAAGGTTTTGCACTCCATATTACGTTATTAACTTCTACCTAAAGTACATTATTTTCTTCAACAGAAAACAAATTTATTTACAAAGTAATTATCCTACTATAAAACTAAAGGTCTTATGTTGAACATGTTATCCATCTTCCATGTATGCTTATACAACATCCCATGTGTTTTCAAAATATGCTCACATATTCCCTTTAAAATATTTATCTTCCTCTATCTTAGTTAAGATAATTTAGTAAATGTAATCAAGTTAGTGGGTTTTATAGTAATGATAAAAATTAATTCACAATCCTTTTGTTTGAGTATTAAATTTATATCTCCTGTTTTCTTTCTCATATAAAGTCTCTGAGACAAACACTTGACTGATACTAGTCATTTTCCCTCATTTACCAATACTGAAGTATATGACCAACAAAGGTTGCATTAATCAATATTCTCCAGCCATCTTAAAAGACTATATATACCTTCATTTTCCTGAGCCTAGACTTGTTATCATGACACCAAGCTAAACAAGTCATCGTTTCTTGTCTTTCCAGGGATTCTTCTACTTCTTTGGCAGTTAAGAACATCTCAATATTTACCAAGTCCTAGAAAAAAACAGGAAAGCACAACTACTCATTTGAGAAACTACGTCACTTACATTTATGGAAACTTCATGAGATCTACATGACTCAAAACTGTTCTTCAGAACAGAAATCAGAATATTGAAGACCAGAGTTAAATGAACCCATACTGATATGTGTATTGAGCTTCCAACATACATTACTCAAAGGATCCATTATTTAAAAAGTAGCTTCCCTTGACTCACAGCTCCTCATGACTTCACAGATATGTCCATGAAGCTCTCTTGGCAAGCAGTTTGCCACTGCCATCATCCATAATTTTTGTTTTCAAACCTCCCAGTTTAGATACAGCTCTGTCATTTCCTGGGACTCTCTCATCCAAGAACTAGCTAGGTCCATGCCTATCTGGCTGTTCTGAGATCACTGTTACAACTGCAACAGTGTATGTAGCATGAAAAGGCATAGGGGACCTGCTCTTTTAGATCCCCCAAGCAGTACAGAAGTTAATAAGCAAGAAAACACCAAAATCCTAAATAGCTGCAGATGAACAAATCACCCAAATACTGCAGCTGTGGCAAAAGGAGGGCATGTGAGGGAGGGGCTCAGTGGTGTTCCTCAGAGTTCACAGGAGGAGGGAAGCCATCATAGAAGCATCATGATCCTGTAATGACTGAGCAGGAAAGAAAAAAAGTCTATTTCAAAGGAGCAGATTGCTCATGGCTGAGTTTGTACGAAGTTTGCCAACTTGGATGCCTCCCTTTGGAACTGCTGTTTAAGAAAGGACTCAACTTTTAAAAGAAGAGTAAGTTAATTCTTGGTCTTCAGAAGTCACTTCACTCCATTCAAAATGGAGCATCATTATTCTTTTCCATCAAGTCTTCCCTTTTCACACAATCCCATCAAGCTTGAATTTGTCAAAACTATTTTATCATACTTCACACTGGACTCCACTTACAATAACCTGAGAGCTGTATCAGGCTTTGTGTTGCATTTCAAGAGCTACAAAGCAAACATGAGTCTGGGAAGGGAAGTTAAATTTTTAAGGAATGAAATTGGTGACTTAAGCCTAGCATTTTGTTCCTGAAAAAACCCTCCACCCGTCAGTGCCAGTGAGCTACACGTGGCCCACAGTTACTAGCTGCATGTTGAACTCCTCCTATATGATGCAGTTAGTCTGAAAGCCCATCCTACTCTGGAATAGTTGAGCCATGGAAGAAATAGCAGAGGGAGACATTTCCACATTCTTTCTTCATCCTTTACACTTCCACATCTCCACTTGCCTTTTCACATTTCAACAGTGTGGAACTCATGCAGATAGGAGGGAGAAAAGATCCCTACAGAGAAACAATGCAGACAGGACCTCAGATTGTTTTTTTACTGCAGCACACTCAGGGGCGGGGGGGGGGGGTTCACTTCCTTACACTGAATTGGCTGGAAAGTGTCAGACCTATGGAGATTTGTATCATCTCATGAGTAAATGCCCAAATTTCTCCAAAGCCTTGACTTCAGGAAATTTTACAGCCCTCCTACCCCCACTTCCCAGAGCTCAAACAATTAAGGAAAGCTCCAATATCTGACACCAGACAATTGAGTTTTATAATGCCTGTTGGTCTTCATACCTTGATGGGGGTCCAACTCTCAGCTCTTCTGGACCCTGGGATAACTAACTTCATAGGTAAAACGGTTGTATGGCAACTGGGCTTGTACATACAATGCTGGAAAAGCCTATGCAAGTGGAGATGACTGACAGACTCTTCAGCTTGGGCCACATCTTGCAAACATAAAATCCTGATATTCATTGAGAGCAAGGAGCTATTTCCTTTCCCTTCAACAGTATCAACAGCGCTGGTTTCAGGCATTGGATTTTTTTCCTCCTCTCCCTCACACATCTCTTTACTTACCAAAAAAGAATGGAGATTTTGCAGATGTTTTAGGGGAAAAGGAAGCCATGACCCTGCCTTGCATCAGGTGTGTGACTGTACTATCAACGTGCTCTCTAGAGCAAATATCCCAGCTAAATAACAATATTCCATGCCTACTGAAGAGTTAGCAGCTTTAAAGGAGTTTCTAGATCTTAAGAAAAGATTATTTGCCTTTCTTCACCTCCTGTATCTGCATGTTCTTATTAAAAAGAAAGATAATTCTTCTTTAAGACCTGTTCATGTAACCATTAAAGATCATTGCTCACTGCCTCTTATTTTGGATTTCCTGTATGGCCTTCAAAAAGCATCCATTTTCTCTAAATTGGACTTGACAGAAGCTTACAATTTAATTCAGATGAAGGAGGGGCATGAATATTGAACAGTCTTTGTTACAAAAAGTTTGAATAAACAGTCATGCCTTTTAGTTTAGTAAAGTGTCTGCATTTTTTACCATTTCATTGCATTCTATTCACATCAGAAATGTGTTACAACACCTAAGCAAACACAAACTCTATTCTAAGTTGGAAAAGCGTGCATCTAATCTACCTGCCTTGGACTATTTGGGTTACTGGATTGCTAGAGAAGGGGTGCAGATGGATCCTGGAAAGGTGCAATCCATTATTAAGGCAAGTATCTAGAAACACTAAATATGTCCAATGTTTTGGGGGCCTTGTCAACTTTAACAAATGCTTCACTCCTGATTTTGCCAAGCACACAAGACAGCTAATTCTTCTGAACTTCTGAAAAATGAGTGCCAATTTAAGTGGCTTACTCAAGAATAAGCAGTTTTTCACACTGAAATGTGTTTTTTTTTCCCCTCTAGCCTCTGCTCTACTGTCAGGATCCCAGCTGTTTTGTTAATTACTGTATGTGATCTCAGATCATGGCTCTCAATTTACATCCAGGTTCTGAAAAGCCCTCTTCTAATTACTGGACATTCATATTCATCTGTCATCATCTGGAGACAAATAGGTAGACAGAGAAGATTAACACTATGCTAGAACAATATTTGTGCTGTTATGTATCCTATCAACAGGCCAATTGGTCTGAACTGTTGCCATTAACAGAATGTGCATATATCTATTCCACATTCCTCAATCGGCACGTCTCCCAAGCAGTTTATGGCAATAACTCATGCTGTTTGCCCTCCAGAACTTCTGCTCCTATGGTTTCTTGAGCCCCTGATATTCTCCGAGAGAGACAGACAGCACAATTCATCTTAAGGGAGCAGCTGGATTTGGCCAAGGCATAATTAGGCAGCAGATGCTCATAGGCAGGAAGGTGCCAGGACAACTGTGGGGAATTTGGTGTGACTTTCCTCTAAGGTTTTATCTTCCTCCTGCCTATCCAAGAAACTAGACTCAAAGTTTATCGGCTCCTTCCCTGTGATGGCTCAGATCAGCCCTGCAGCCTTCCATTTGCAACTGTCTGCTTCAATAAAAATACACCTGATGCTTCACTATTCTCTCCTTGTGTAGGACTCTCCCTGTCCTTGCATTCAACATCTCCCACTGTTTCTGCTAAACAGGGAAGGGGAATAGGAAGTGAAGAACATTTTGGACTCTAGATCCAGGAAGCGAAGGTTAGAATATTTAATTGCCTGGAAGGGTTACTCTGAAAGACCATGGGATGTACACACACCCCAACTTTTTCACCAATTTAATCTGAAATGTCCATGCAAGTCTCATTCCTAAGAATTGCCTTGTGCTGCACTAGACTTTGATTGGAAGTCTTTGAGAAAGAAGAGGACTCTCTGCTCCCTGCCATGCTGGCTCAATCTTCTGTTTCAGATGTGGACACCGAACTCTCAATGGGAACTGTATACTCCAGCATCATGGGAGTCTTCTATTTCAGACCTGACTGTTGATCTTGAATATCTGAGGGCTGGAAGAGGCAGGGTCATCACTCTTGGTGCATTCCATGGCAGAGGAGGAGAGAAGTAGCATGATGGAATGTCTAACAGTTCCTGGAAACATGGCGGATGGAGCAAGATTGTTTTGGGAAGAAAAAAGGCCATTACAGAAAAGATTTCCAAGTTCAAGGGAGGAGGAAAGCATGAGAAAAAGACTGTGAGTAACTCTGGCTTAATTACATAGCTATAAGTTGAATCGGAGAATTGTTTAATAGGCTTTCAAGATTCTATTGTAATACCCTACTACTGATAAAGATCCTTCCAGAAATCCAAGGGGTTCTTGTTTCCTGAAGCTGCCTTCCTTGACAGGCTTGACAGATAAAAATTAAAAAGATATAGCTGTTTATTATTCCTGTATTAAATAATGGGAAACAAAGGGCTCTGTGTTTCCTTATTACTGCCATCCATTAATAAGAAATCAGAGATCAGTTCAGATTGCAGTCATTTTAGAGTTGAGGATCCAGGTCAGATGGTTTTTGTGCAATTTCAATCAGTAAATGCATATAACCTACTTAAGATATGCCATCCAACTGCAATGACTAAAATATTGCCTCTGCCTGCATTCTTTTAACTCTAGTGACTAAGCCAAGATTATAAATTGCACATTAGAATTCCATTTGACTGAATAGTTTAAACATAACAGGAAATGAAGAGCTATTTTGTGACTGCCCAGAATTAATTTGCCTAGGGCAAATGTTCTATTGCAAATGTTATTTGCTATTACATTTGTACAGAACATGAAAAAAATGACCCTGAACACTTCAACTTTCAAAGAAAAATGATAGTATGTTTAAAAAAGAAGTCCTTTATTCCACATATAGTTCATGTGGAAGGGGATCTTCAAATAAATCCACTTTGTACCAGTATTCTCAATTATTTTGAGCTGTGCAAAACACTAGGATGCACCAATTAAGCAAGCAGAAGAAACTAGTAAAATTCACTGTACTGAAGAGAGTATGCCATTCTAAAAATAAGAATACAAATAAATTGATTTCAGCCAAACTCAAAATACGCTTTATACACAGGAAAATAAACTGTACAGAATGAACATGAAGGAAATTGTTAAGTTATCTGAGCAGCACAGTATACAAAAAAAATTTAAAGGATTTCTAGATAGGCTGGCTATCACTTCCTGCCATACCATTTCAGGGTGTAGATGGGAATTCTGTAGTTGTTATTCAGTATAAAAACTTCCCTGAGCTTAGAAACCATTTTTTCCCCTATGAAAGTGATTCTTGCCACTTTCCAGGCAGCATCTAATAAAGCAGCACTGCCACAATAACCTGACTTTGTAACAAGTACCAACCTCAATGCCACTTTGCCTGGCTAGTTTTACAGCAGTATTGTAATAGCCACACCGCAAGAGATGCTCCACCATCATGCGATCCATTCGTTTTTTCTTCCACATATTTGCAGCAGCTGGCTGATCGCTACTATGTTCTTTAAGATGCTCAATTCTGCGTTTGCATAGTTTTGCACTTTCGTCTTCGGCCTGGATTGACTCTACTGCCTACACAAGGAAAACAGTTATTCAATCAGATCTTAACGCAGAACAGACCTTTCTGTTCCAAACATGAAGTAGTCATGTTAGCTTGCAAAGTGAAGGAAGCAAAAAGCATTTATACACTTAACTACCCATATAAAGTCTAGCATAGTTTGAGAAAACAGTTAAATCATATAATCTCACTACAGTCACACAAAATTGAACTATATCCCAGCCACTTCTACCATCATTTTGTGAACATCTGTTTATGCATAGGCTCGCAGTAGTGAAGGCATAGGAAAAAACAATTGTTATGCATCTGACATGCAAACATTTATTAGGGAAGCTAAGAATTCTTGAGTAATCAATACCTTTCAACTTATCTCATTTGCTCTCTTATTCCCTCAGTCACAGAACACTCACTGGGCCTCTTTGTAGGAGAAAAACAATTATGCCCTTCCCCATCTAACACAATTTTACTGAAGTCTGTTATTTGTTGGACAACAGTCCAGAATGAATATGCCATATTCACGGACTTCAATAGAACGTTATGCCTTAAAACAAGCAAGTAAGGATGAGAAACGTTCTGACTGGTAAATCCAAAATGGCTTACTTCCACTTTTCCTCTGCATGGCCTTTCCTAGGGATATGCTACTCTTTAGATCCAAAGACAAAAAAGGCACTCAATTCAATGTGGCTAATACCTTAAAGAAGCTGCAGCTTTTCCTGGGCTCACGCAGTAACTACACGATCCCAGGAAAACATATGTTTAAGGTACGGGGGAGCCTAACAGATATCACACTCCCTTAATCATTTGCAGCAAAGAGGTTCTGCAAATGGAAGGTTTTTCAGAATCGAGATGCATGACCTAGATTAATCCCTGAGGAATGTTAAATAGTTCCCCTAGAGTGGAAGATCAGCAATCTGTCCAGCAGGTACTGTTTTGCTATTACAGACAGTGCCAGTAAGTAACTATTAGTTAAAAATAAAAAAATATTGAAATTAAAAAAATATATACCCTACATTGCAAAGAGCTTTATCTCAGATCTTGCAAGATTTTGCTTATTCTTGAAACATTTTTAAGGTCTGTTTTTCAAAAAATTGGAAACTCAATCCAGGGGACTTGTAGGCATTGTGATGACATATAACCTCTGATCTGGAGCAAGAACCTACACATTGTAGATCACTTTCTTTTTATTACTAAAAAGTGCCTAAAGTGAACCCAGATTTATTTTTGACTGAGTGCCCTCTTAGCTGAACGGATGCATTCATTCACTGAACAGCCACCCAAGATAATATGCAACAAAGACATATTGTGTCCAAAACAATAATTCTCTTTTTTGCCTTGAAAAGTGAGAACTTAAATTCCCAGATGAAAACAGAATTGGAAAAATCAAAAACCCAAAACAATAAAATGAGGCAGGAAAAATTTACCTTTCGTTTCAGAACACTAAGCTTTTCAACCACTCCGTCAAGGAGACTAACCACAGAATCCACAGCTGGACAGCTGCTCAGTGTCTTCTCTAACTCTGCTACAACCATGGTCACGTGGCTAGTTTCTCGATCAATGTTTTTCTGAGCGGCTCGGAACCGTTTGTTCAATGTTTCGTAAGGTACCTTCAAAAACAAACGATGCTTTGATATTTATATAAAACACTCTTCAAGCTTAGATTGTTATCTTTAACCAAGAATTGCTTATCAAGTACTCTCAATATTTCATTCACTTATTTAAAATATTCATATACTGTACTACCTTTCAGTAGAATACTCTTAGAATTATCAAGTAATTTGTAATTACATTAGCACTCACACAGATTCTACAAATTTGTTTATGTTATAAAGAATAAGGGTTATAAAGAGACTTAGTACTGGTACCTGGACTCTAGTTATAATAGCACTGGAATTGGCAGATAATAAAAAACAAGAAATTTAGCCAATTGCTTATCTATAGCCCTACTGGCTTGGCTTAAAACTCTCTCTCTCACACACACACACAAACATCAAAATAGCACTCCAGGGTTATGTTACGGGGGGGGGGAGGGGGACCAACAGTCCCTCAAGTACTCAATGAATATACATTTATATAAACCATATTTCTGAAGATACAAGGAAAGAGTGAGTCATGTTTTCCCACAAGCCTGTGAACTGAAATGAAATACTCCTACTATCCACCTAATGAATGCCCTGGGTAATCAAAAAAATCCTTCACATACCAAAATACAATCATCTGACAACACCTGGTGCCAGATCGCTTCTCCCAAGACAAAAAAATAATCATACATCAGAGTCTTGGAGTTAATCTAACCTGGCATGTTTTTGCATCATAATGGTATGATATTACATCAATATAGAGGTATAGTTCAGACTTCTCCAACTACAGTACTATTAAGCAATGTCTTACATAGGTAGTTCATAAACCAGAATCCATAAAGTCTTCCCCAGTCTAGCGCCCTCCCATTAGCTCCAATCCAGTGTTCAGGGATAATGGCACTGGGTCTCAAAAAACATTTGCAGGGCTCCATGTGTAAGCTGTATGCCAGTATTGTCTACCCTTGCTATTATCACCACAATGAGATATCCTATAAATACAACTATAGAATCCACATAGAAAAGTATATAACCTGAAATTAGGACATTGGAGAAAAGAATATGTTATCTGTAGATAACACATTAACCCTAAAATAAATAGGATTGCCTCTGGCTACTTGAAAATGGATAGTTAGAAAGTTTTCCTGCCACAAGCATTTGATCAATTTGGCCAATGAAAATACATAAACATTTTAAAAATTATCACAACAGCATTTCCATATTATACAGGTTTAAAATCAAAATCTAATTTGGAGAACACATCTTCCTGAAAATCATCCCTGCCCCATGGCTAGATAATTCTTCCTAGCAATTTCACATAGATGTTGAAATGCACAGGAGATAAAAATAAATTTTCGTGAGGCTCTATTGGCAAAAAAAAGCAAGCACAGTACAGAGTACTAAGGAATGCAAGAACCATTATGAAAATGCCAACTCAACCAGGAAAAAAGGAGTGAGAAAGTAACTCAAGGTAACTCCACCTTGATTTTTTTTTTTTTTTTTAATATAAGAGAGGGTAGCGGGATACTTTGACAAGCTTTCAAGATTATGTTATTATACTATACACAACAGAGTTCCAGTTGTCTTCGTGTTGTCTGCTCCCTGACCTGACCTACCTTGAAGGGCCAACCCGTATGAACACAAAGATTTTCCCATAAAGAGGAATCAGCACAAAACAGCTTGCCCCATCTCACAAGGTATCTCAGAAAGATCCCAAGATCGATTATATCAAAACCTACCAAAAGATCAAAAGGAAGCAACAGACTATTCCCTGAAAAAAATCTACAAGGACAATAGTTAATAACCTTTTGGCAGCTAAAGGCCAAATCATTTTTTTTGCTGGGGTGAGGATTGGAGCAAACAGACATTACATACAGGACTGAGATTTTCCTATTTTCTCTGAGTTTTGAGGGAGAAGCATCAGGATATTTTAAAGTTATACCAGGATTTATATTATAGGTTTTGTACATTTCAAAATGTTTATAGATTATGCAACTTATATCCAGCTAGCATGGAACTCTTGGAGTCATAAGTTGCTCATTTCTACAGCAAGGCAGTTTTGAACTCCAATCTAATGTAGAAAATACCCTGATTTATTACCAGATTGGTTACCATGGCTTCAATCTTGTCCTTCACAATAAATGACCCTTACTAACTGCCACCCACACAATGGCATTTGGGGGGATTTTATTGAATATTTTGGCTCAATAGTACAGAGTAAAGGGGCAAGCAGTCAAGCAAACTTACATGCAAATTTAAGGAGTTAGCCAAGTAAGACACAGTAGTCAAATGAGGATTTATGAGTGACATAATATAATTCCACCACAATCTTATATGCTCGATGGAATGGAAGCACAGTCTAACTGAACTGTATTTCATTATTTTATATTAAGCTTTATTAAAGATCGATCTAGATCAGAAGACACAACAGAACTATAGAACATCTTTCTCCCCCAAAATGTCTGTCAGTTGGGCATATGGATCCAGATATTAACCATTCAGTTTTTTTAACAAAGTGTGCATGTACACACACACAGACATATCTATCTATATAAAACCACAGATACGATATTATTGGAGCAGAGTAAAGCAAGGAAATTATTTAAAAACCTAATTCTTGTGTATATGTATGAATGAAAAAGCCCCATGAGATCTATAAGCACGTCTAGAGCCAAGTTAACTCTTGAGATCAAGATAAGAATCTTGATCCTAGTGTAAAAAAAAAAAAGAAAGTCCACAATCATTTCCTTGATTTCTGTTAAATATAAGCTGACACAACTTTCCAGCAATATTGATAACTTTCTAACATACTTTACAGATAGCACAACCATAAAGCATAATATTTGATCATTTTAACATACTTGTATGTAATTACTTTAACATACAGGAAACTTGTAATCTGTGTCCCTTTCTATGTGCTTTATACAGAGAAACCACTCAGTGTTTAAAGATGTTTCAAATGTTTGAGATTCCATCACACAAATCACAAGAATTGTATTTCACTGTCAGCTGCGTTAAACTGAAATAGGCATAAGACTCTTATGTAACTTGTGTGATTTTTAAGTAAATCTATTTTAACCTGCTTATTTTCTTCTGATACTTGAATTGATCATGTTTACTGTAATATATTAATTCTGGGAGCCATTTTGAGTGTTTTGTTTCTTTTAGAAAATTAAGACCCAAAGTGTAACAGTTATCAATAGTAATTTAGAAATAAGCCCCATGTTTTTTATATTATCTAGACAGTCCTTATGTGCAGAATTCCTAGAATAAGGTATAACAAAATCAGAACAAAATTATAAAAAGATAAACATAGCCACTAGGAAGCCAACAAAATGTCTGAGAACTGCATTATGCATTCCTGGACTTCTGAGTAAGATGTTTATAGTATGGCTGTATGCGTGCCTAAATAAATAAAGGTAGCCTAGAGAAAGTTCATTTTGTATAAACAGGAATATTACTATAATTAAGAAAAACTAAACAAAGAGGTTTCAGTAGCTTGTTGTTTCCTGAAATTCACATTCTCATACCCAAGACCACAATAATTGGGAGCAGGTAATTCTGATTGTTAATATCATTTAAACTAATCACAAGAAAATATCTTAAGAAAAGTCTTAAAGATTCTTTTCAATTATCTGCATTCAATATTCTGAAAATCAGTCACTGCTGGAGTTATGAATGATAATGGTCAAGTCCTTGAAAAAGCAATTTCTTTACCTTCATTTCTGTTCTTACTGTATGGAATATACAGGCTATTTACTATTGTTAAAAAGAAAAGGAGAAGCATAGGCTTAAGTGGAAAAAATCAGCTTTTTTCAATTATTTGTTTTATATGAATACAAAAAAGCTGTAATTCTTTTGCATATTTTACTTGATATCATTAATCATTCCCAGCTCTATTATGAATTTGGGTTGTATGGTGGTTTGAGTTGTCTTTTTTTGATCAAAAACTATTCCTGCCTCCTGTAGAATTTGATTAGTTCAATCTGATTCATATTATTTCAAGAGGCAAATCAGCAGGAATTGAGATAACTCTCCCCCCACCCCATCCTCTCAAACACTGTTGTTGCCTGCTGAACTACAGTTCCTCCCTCCTAGTGTTGGCCTTACTCAATTGGAAGGCTGGAAGTTTAGATATACCTGAATGGTCATACACTTTCAACCCAGGTATGCTGAAAGGAAGTCCAAAGACAACATGGTTTAGAAACATAGTATGTTGATGTTGTCATAATTCACTCCCCTCTCCTCTTCCCACTTTTGGGCCTTTTTATTCCTAACAATTCTATTTTTAATCAACTGAGGCTCAACTTCTTGGAATCCTAAAGATTATATCGATTGTTGGCTGGTAGCAAATATACCATTCTGGCTAAAGAGCAAGGTTCAAAATATTTTAAATACACATACCTTGAACAAGGTATATGAGTAGGTGACTGCCATGCAACTCCAGACAGTTTTAGAAGACTTCCCCAATCTTCTAAATACATTTAAATGTTATGTCTGGCTTTTGGGGAGGTCCTCCAACAGTAAAAAGTCCCTTGAAGACAGGACTATCATCCCTGTTAATTCTGCAGGACATTTCGTGGGTCCTGAAGTCATTAAAATCACCCTTTGGAGGTGAGAAACAGGGGTTGTGCTGCAGAAATTCTGTTATCATCAGAATTATCAGCTCTAGAAACCTGCACTAGAAAACTACTGCTCTGACGCTAATGATTTCCAGAGCAGTAATTCAGTTCCTCAAGGCACTCAACCTCTTGAATTGGAGCGCCTGGGATTTGGAGGACAGAGTCACCAATATGCTGATAACAGATTTCCTTTCCATAAAAACATTCAGGAAATCCTGAAAAGAGCTCTTCAGACCAGGCATCCCCCTAATAAGACTGAAAGAGTCTTGGTCAGTAGTTTCATTTGATCTAAAAAATGACAGTGGCCTGCTCTCAATACAGCTGTACCTCTGAAGTCCCACTTTGGAAGCCCTTTCCACCTGGAGGCCAGCAACCACCCCAGAAAAATGCCCCACCTGGGCTGGCCCCCTCACCCAGGGGATGCTCGTTTGAGAATATTTCACTTGGATATCAAATTGGTGTGGTTAAGGCACCAGGCTAGAAATGGGGAGACCGTGAGTTCTAGTCCCATCTTCAGCAAGAAGCCAGCTGCGGGACCCTGGGCCATTCCTTCTCCCTCGGCCCTAGAAAGGAGGCAATGGCAAACCACATTTGAAAAACTTTGCCAAGAAAACTGCAGGGACTTGTCCAGGCAGTCCCCGAGATTCGGACAAGATTGAATGAATAAAAAAAAAAAAGCAAGCTGTACTACAGCGGGAGCCAGCATGTTGTCCTGGTTCAGGAGAGTTCTAGTCCTCCCACAGGCATGAGAGCCGGCTGGGTGACTTTGGGCCAGTCCCTCTCTCTCAGCCCAACCCACCTCACAGGGTTGTTGTGGTGGGGAAAGCAGGCGGGGCGTTAGGCATGTTCGCCGCCTCGAGTTACATATAGAAAAGGTGGGACAACAATCTAATAACGATGATGATGACGACGACAAAGAAACGCCTAGCCGAGTGCCCTTTAAAATAC